GGGCTAAGAAGCAAAGATGATGGGAAATGAAGAGACAGTAAAGGACTGGCTGCCAAAGAAGATAAGATCAAAGAAGTAGTATAAAAGGAGGAGATTTAAAGAAGGTAAGAGAGACTTCAGAAAACCCCACAGACAAGATTTTTGGAAAAGCTTTCATTTGCTCAGATATGCTGCCACTGAACTTGATACAAAAGAATTAGGTCAAGATGGATCACTTAGGGAAAAAAAAATCCACAGTGCGATTTTTTTCAAAGAACTGTAGTTTTGTCCTCCTTTTTGTATGTATGTAAACATACACTTATGCATATATTACTTCCTGGTTGGTGAGGAGTTACTTAATGGCACCATGTATTTTTTTGCTGAAACCCAATGCTGCAAACAAACAGGGTGTAAGTGATCCCTCCCCACCAATGACAGTGGCCTAATTAGCCCCTTTTTTCTCAGGTGGTGCTGATGGATCTCTCAACCTGATTTACCTACCAGCTGTGTAATTCTGCAAAAGCAGCTTTGATCTTCTTCACAGAATTATCCACTTCCTCTTTGATCATCATACGGTATCTGGTTAGAGAAACGGTGCAACGCTGCAAGTCTTTTACTGATTTTTCAATGTTTGGCCCTAAAATAGAAAACAAAAATTACACAAAAGTCAGAAAGCTGGTTTTGGCTTTTCTGAATGAGAGAGCAGGAATAGTTCAACATGTTATTTTCCCAGATTAGGATGAAGTGGTTACCCTACTGAAGTCTATAAATCCAACTTTTCCATAGTCCTTCTGTGGTGCTGTTCAGTTTCTAAACATGTTTGCTCAAATTCATTCCCCAAATCAAATAAATGCTAAAACAGCACTATTAATTCAAATTATTTATTTTAAATTTCATTTAATATAATGTTAAAAAGACCATAAATTGTTCTAGTCATTTTTGTTACGCTAAACATGATTCTGCTCTCACTTTCCAACACATCTCTTCTTCACGTATTTTTTTTTTTTTTTCCTAGAGGCCTCAGCTGTCTGATCACCTCAGCACACAGCAACCAGGGATCCAATTTACCTCTTTTTTTGACTGAATCATCTGTCTTTGTTTCACGTTGGGTTGCAGCATTGGATGATTTAACTGAGGAAGATTTTGACTTTGGCCTGCCTAGGTTACACTGGAGTTGAACTGATGACTGAAGAGACTCATGCTGTTCTACTCCATTCATAGTCTTTGGGTTTAATTCCACAGATACTCTCTGGTGTTCTCGTGCTTTGTCTGCAAGAAAACATTAAGGTAGAGAACAGGGATTTATAAGATTAAGAAAGATACGAAGCCTTATTGTGGAGCCTGAATGACCTTATGTTTATACACTGGAAAAAAAATCGAGGTTTTTTTTTTCACTGGCATACATTCTACAGAACCTTGGAAAGCAATGACAGAACAGAAACAAAATGGTTTTGGTTATTAAACACTAATCTGAACACATCTATGTTTCAACAGCCTAAAAAGAAAAACGCATTAAAAAAAAAAATCAACTCTTCCATGCTGATATGAAAAAATACCTCATAACATAGAAAGCATACTAGCAACTGTAATCTGCCCAAATATTAGAGAAGAGAACTAGAGAGGAAGTCTGCTATGGAAAGCACAAGACTTTAATGTTGATATATATCTATCTATATAATCTCACACACAAAAAGTGTTTGTCATTTAATCAGCATTTTAAAAGCACTGATTAAACATTCCTACCTGAAATACTTACCTTGCCTGACTACAGATTTCTATCAAAAGCAACTGCTCAGAGGGACCAAGCAGGAAATGAAACAATGTCAAAGATTAGGCTCCTGGATTCAACAGCTTCAGAGGGATAAGATAACAATACCTGAGCCTGTTTGGCTGCCACAAGATGACCTAGTTTACTCTTTCCAAGACTCCAAAGGGATTCAAGGTATCAGCATAATGATAGAGGGACAAGCAGCCAAAGAATGGCTATGAAAACTGACAGGTAAGGCCAGCTACTACTGCCACTGTGAATTTTAGTTAAGGGAACAAGCATAGAAAATGATTTGTTGTGTTAACTCATTTTTCTAATCTTTGTACTCACTTGATGAATGAATGAAAGTTTGTTCTGAAGATGTTCTTCATGCATCACTTTATTCAGCTGATGTTGTGTGGTGTCTGGAGAAAAGGGGCTTGTCAGATTAACAGCTGGATTATAGCACACGGAGGGGGATTAACACTGCTGGGACTGAGCGATACCACCTGGACAGCTCCAGGATATCAGCTACTGACTTCTTTGTGCCCTGGCTGGGCACTAGAATGGGTGTAAAGTACACCTTGGTATGTTTCCATAGCAATCACATAACGCCAGAGGAACAAGGAGGAACATTAGTGCCCGCATTTCTAAAACAGCTTTTGTTAATGGGCTTTAGAAAGTGAGTCTGTAAACAGAAAAAGTATCTTATATAAAACAGTATGTAAGAAAATAGTTAAAGAAGTTAAAGAAACCTGTGTATCTGTGAAAGCAAGAAACACCAGGTATGCAGCACTCTGAACATATCAAAGGTTCAGTGCAGATACCAGTCTCACACATAGCCAGGAACTCTGTTCTGAGATAACTGCCACTAACCTCGTGCAAGCCTGCCTGCATCTCATACTAACGCAGATAGCTTTGATTTATAAAGAATGTTCTTTCTACTGTCAGTTGCTAAATAATTCCAACAGAGAGTTAGAAACAAGCAGTCTATCAGCTAAGCTATGGAGAAAGGCCAGGGCTATTGGGTTCTGTCCCCAAGATTAGATATTTTGAAATTTGTTGTTAAAGTGCAAAATATTTATTTTCTGCATTTAATTAGAAGCTTTGGTGTACTTGTCAAGGCAAATGACAAACTGACAGCTTTTTGCCTAAAGACAGACATCTGGAACAATGGTTGTACTCTAAAAACTTTTTAATCTTTTTTTGTCTGCAATATACTTTGACACTGTTTCTTCCAAAATGACACACAAGCTACTTTGAAACCCAGCAGCAAGATGACCAACATAGCCTAGCAAACAATACCTTAGTATGCTGCAATTGAACTTTCAAATCTGATTGAGAACAATCAACACAATTAAAAATAGATTGAGAAAGTCTGCATCAAATCTCTGAAGACTTGGGCCAGCTAAGAAACATGGTTAACAAAATCTAGGGACAAAGTCTCTCTCAAATACTTGAAAGAGAAGTCAAAGGTTTGGGTAATAGTAGCTACAAGTAAACTGTTGCAGGGTTCAGTACGTCGTTGCCTGGAACATAAGCACTAGTCTAATGTGTGAACTCCGCTGTATTAGCTGTCAAGTATACCCACCCCTGCCAGTAATGGCAGCAGCCCAAATAAACTTGCTTTGCAGTCTTCTGAGCTGCCATCTTCGAAATGAGTAGTTTATCTTTTTGTAACAGCTTGCCATTCAAAAACCTTTTAAATAAAGTGAACCTCAATGGATTATTTGGCTGAAAGAAGAAAAAAAAAACTCCCTTGAGATAGAAACAGGAAGTTTGAAGGATTCACTAAAAATCATCCTACATGAAAAACAATTTTAAAAAGTAGAAGAGAGATCAGTATCTGATTTGTACCTGGTTTTACACAAGTCCCTGCAAAAGTAATAGCTTGGCAAGGCAGCATTAAATATCCTTTCAGTGCATTCATGCCCCTTCTTTACAAGGATATGCACAGGAAGGGTAGCTGTAAGTCCTTCAGATCGCGTGTTGCCAAGGACTCTAAGACGACGACTTGGAGGGTTTGCTCTAGTCATAATTTTGAAGTCATCTGGTTTATTTGGGGCCTTTTCCCCTTCAAGATATTGAGGGAGAGCCCCTGAACTGACTCATAAGTAAGTGAAACACTCCCTAAGGCCCTCCATGATGAGGCAATTTGGCTTTCCAGGACCTTGAATTCTGTGCTTTATTTTCTCTAGCAGGTCTTGAGTCCCTGTAGGAAACCATCACACAAAAAAGCAACAACTAAAAACTTCTCAGAAAAAGAAAATGGAATAGTGGCAAGAAATAAGCAGACCAGAACTAAAGGTAATAGACACATGTTCTCCCCTATCACTTTCTACCATGGGACACATTATGGAGAAACACCAGCTACACTGCATCCTCCCCCTTCTGGTCCCTGAAGTCCCTTCCAGGCAGCCAGGATTTTATGGCTCTGAAAGACCTAATCTCACAGACTGTGAGTTGGTATAAGCAAAGCTTCAACTTCATGATCCTCATGGGGAGAAAAGCATAAGGGACTGTCAGCAGACACCTGATTATGATCCCTCTAAGCTGTGAGCTGTCTGAAGGTGACAGTGAAATGACTACAGTAACATTAATTTGATAGGGAAGGAACCAAAACAAGCAAGCCAGATGAGGACAAAACAAAGGAGAATACAACACAAGAGGGAGCAATATGAAACGGGCGCAGTTCAGGCTCACTTCAGCGTTTCAAACTGCTTTAGAACGGTCTATGTGCCTTGCTCAGGAACCACAAGGGTGCAGCTGCTGGCCCCTGAGGAATCCTGATCACCCTTCTCTTCGTTCCATGCACTTCAGCACAAATTTAACAATATGTACATAGGTGGCTTTTGACCTTAAGAAAGTAGCTATTATACTGGCTGCAAAGACAAGGATTCTAGTGCAACTGAAAGTGAAGAAGAAACTCTTTCTTCTCTGTATTAAACAAATTGCCAGGAACTTATTTTACCATGCAAGGGAAACTTGAATATTAAAGTTTCAGGTTTTCCTTTCTCTCCTTTTCCTTTCCTTTCTTTTCCGCCTTTTTCTTTTATTTTCTTCTTCTCTCCCCTGTTTTTGAAACAGGGGATATGTGTAAAAGTTTATAAAAAATTGTAAAGCTATGGTAATATCTCATTTGTCACTTGTAAAAGCAAAGAAAAATTCTGAGATACTTTTTGCCCTTGGTATGTACAACTCTACACTGTATCATGTCAAAGCGCAAAAAAAGGACTGAATCCCAATGCCACAGAAAAGGACCACTAAGAGCACGGGTACTCTTCTTGCATTCAGGTCTGTTACCTCCTAGAAAACACTTCCCATGCATGGACAATTCAGTCTATGTATCTTTATTCATGCATGTATTGTTTCAAAAAAAGCAACTCTAAGTAGTTTGACATGGCAGCTTGACACATTTATACTACAAATGTTTACAACTTGCAGAATAAGTGGCAAGAATGCTTTTAGTATTATGGAAATGCAGAGTTTTCTGGCTTATGGCATATTCTATCCAAAGTAAGCGGGAGCCTTTAGCAAGGGCAGGAGGAGTATCTCTGATCCTTTGCAAGACACCAAATTCTTAGGAAAAAAATTCTTGATAAGTAGTTTGTCTGTTTGGTTGCAGAGTTTTCATTTAATTGACCAGAGGTTGGCACCACCAAAGTCGTGTGGAAACAGCAGAGAATTCACTTCAGGACAATTATCCATTTGGCACATTCCTTTAAAATGAGGTTTGAGAGCTGTATTTGCAACCATGGAACAAGGGATTTCAAGGAAAGTTCTTTTAATGCAGTCTTACATACTGCTTAAGACACAGGAAGAAAATACTAACACAGCAGCAATAATCTAGGGCTGTCAGAAGTTTGAAATGCAAAGAGCTGGAAAACCATTACCTGTACTGACAGTAATTAAATATGAGCTTTATGAAAGGATACTTAAAGGCAAAAGTTTTCACAGAGCTTATCCCCCAGAGGAGAAGGTTTGTTTTCATTGATGTTGCTATAATCATAACTGTATCTACTACAACCCAGTGGGGAAGAGCTTTCTGCGTTACTGTCCCCCAGAGTTTCAGAATTAGTATCCAGATCCTAGCAGAAATGCGTGTGTACTAAGAGGCTATCAGACTGCCTTCCCTCAACACAAAGGTCCTCCTTTCCTTGTTAGGGAAAGCTAGTGGAGATCTACTGCAACTAGCCTATTCAGGGAAGATGAGAAAACGAAAAAATGGACTAGTCTGGACTAGGCAATAAAGAAATCTGTAATACGCCACAAGCTCATACTGCTCAGATGACTTTGCTCTAGATGAGGGACTTTATCACTTCTGTCACCATTTTACACTCAAGCTATTTTCTAAAGCTGCATTCTTCTGTATTTATACCTGTAAGATTCTGTATGAGCTGGGCCTCTAATTATAGTTTGATCCTTTTGTCTTTAGAAAAAAAAAAGACATTTTGCAAGGAAACATATTGCAAGGCGAATTGTGCCCAGATATAGATTTGCTTGCATGACTTCAATAGCTATGTGCATTATTTTGCACAAACACCTCTCCAATATCTTTTTTTTTTATATTCTACTTCATGGCAATAAAAATATCACGATCTTTATGTAAATGGAGGCTTGGCTATTGCCAGTTAAAAAGGTGTCTTGTGCCAGATGAACTGACCTGTGATTTCTGGACAGACCAGTGCTGACTCTACAAATCCTGAGCCTTTGCTCTCAAGAGGAGCGGCTTCCAATTTCTGATTGGCAGAACCACTGCAAGAGTTGTCCTTAGAGCATCCATTCAGATGGCAGTCATATATTCCCTGGGGCTCTTGAGATGCCTTCTCAGGTCCACCATTCTTGTTTTTAGGATCTTTATTGCCTTGGTGCTGTTTAGATTTGCTTCTTTTTCTCCTATTGTTCTAAATGAAGAAATATTTCAAGAACAGAGACACCACTCAGTGCAACTCGTATAAACTCAAAATATAATCAATAAATTGTCCATGCTCTTAAAATGCCATACAAGTGACATCAGTGTAATGTAATTTACAGGCCATGCTGTGCTATACAACACATTGCATCTGTTCAGCTGAATATATAATCCATTTCAAATAAAATCTGAAGCCTCAAACTGGTTTTCCCCTTCTTTACATACAACTCCTGCATTGCAAAATGGTAACAGAGCTTCTGCTAAGATGCTGCTCAAAATGTTTGCAGTCACTTAGGATAAGCAGTTCCTGACCATCCAGGGGACATCCACACAGTATCATGGACAAACCCTTAAGGCATCACTCTGATCAGGTAGAAAGTGATCACAGAGGACATAGCCTGCCCACTGCTACTGTAGCTCTCCCAGCCATAAAGAGAAGCCTCCATGACAGTGACTCACAGGGCAGCCTCCTGGAACAGCTCCGGCTTGGAGATACGTAAGCATGAAAATCATATCCCAAATATACACTTGAAGTATCTGACTTGATAGTGTCACTAGTGCACGAGTCCTAATGGATGACTCCTGTGCATAAGTTATTTTTACACCTGGCAGCAAAGCCTCTAGCACTATAAGTGGCTGGGACTATCAAGGATACAATTGCTTATTAAAAAATGTTTCTGCATATGGGCTGTTTTGGGATTTGTTCTGTACTTGTCCAGGGGCTGGTTCCCACACACATGCTGTCCCAGAAATTCTGTCAGAACACTGGGCTAGAGAGACAGCAACAGACAAACAAGGTTAAAAAATACACACATTTGCTTTCAAGTATTCTGACTACAGGTGAGAATGAAGTCACCTACGTTAGTAAAGGCAGACAAAGTACTGGCCAAAATAGAAGTACTACATTCAACTACAGACAGCTGATAAAGGGTCTGAATGCTTTGATTCTCAAGAGCAAGTTCTTACCTTCTTTTTCCCTGTCATATTCCATTCCTTTAGAACCTGAGTTGCGCTGCCTAGAGAAAGCAAAGATAAAATATTTCAACAAAAGTTCAGCTATGAAAAAGAACAAGTGTGCTCAAGAACAGTTTCTAGTCTCCTAGCTGGGCAGCATTTCCATTTGTTGTTGCGAATTCTCTTATGTGGGGAGAACAAAATGAGAAACGCGGTCTTCCTTCTTTTTAGTTACCTGTTTTATTTGATTACACTACATACAGTAGATGGGCTTTTTGTGGCCTTCATTCCACAAAGTCATTAAGTGGGTGCCTAACTTAAAGAAATAGCATAAGCCCCAGAAGAATCAACACTCAAATCTCCTGCCCGAAAAGGGAAGCATCTCAGCACCCTAGTATAAACACTGGCTAAACTAGATAGTCCACCCTGAGCTTCCAAAAGTTTTAAAATCTTTTAGCATTTTATCATATACTTCCTATGTTTTATCTGTCATATTCAGAAGACCTAAGAACATAAAAATGAAGACTTAATTAGCACCCAAAACAGTAATTCTGTGGACTCCTGCAGAAATTCTGCATTACACACAGTAAACTTAGGCCTGGCAGAAAAAAATGGTTAAAATTTATATTGAAAAATTATTACAATTTTGTATACTTGAAATTCTGTCTGCCAGTCCTAATGAGTTGGTTAGATAAATTTATGGAACAAAGCAAGAAGAGCCTTGGTCAGACCAGTGCCAGCTGCCACGTTAGAAGAAAACTCTTCTGCATCTAGTTGACATCATTATTTTGTTCTCCTGGACCCTAAAGCTTAAAACAGGTGCTCATGGCAAGCATGCAGCCTGAATCATCATCCAAACTACTATGGCAGTATCAGCCACAATAATCCTTTTAATCGCAACCAGGTTAAAGGTCTCTGCTTGAATTTAAGAATCACTTTACCATCACTGCATCATTCTAGTAAATATTAATTATCCTTTCAAAATGGGTTTCATACTCAGCCATTCTTCTCACTCATTTCAGTGAACTCTTGATGATATTAGCATTAAGAAGTAATGCTGTTTTCAGACCACCATGAGTCATCAACTTGTATTCAGCCAATGACGTGAGGTTTTCAAATGTACCAAAATTATTTTTCTACCACGATAATCCAGATCCAAGATTATCTGGTGAGTCTATCATGCACATTAGAAGATTATGTATCTTGCTAGCAGTGCTAAGCCCAATTTGTTAAATTGTAAGAAAATGTGTGTGGAATCCTTCAAAGCTGTATTTTGTTTCCTAGGACAGAACAACACAGACAGAAGGCTAAGAAAACTTCTATTATGTGTATAACTATACAAATATCTATATTTAGTTATACACATACATACTTATGTACATACAAATACAATTCCCTCTCCTAAAGGTATGCTATCTTTTGACAGACACCACATTTCAGTATGAAGAAATAAACTCAGACATTTGCTGCCCATTTTACTCCCTGCTGCTGAAAATATGTGATTTCACTTGACAGCTTTGTTAACTGTTTTCACAGTATCATCCAACACTCTTTTTGCGTTGGCTGGTGTTGTCTTAGCTTTGCTTCCCTCAGCTTCCCTGTGAATACTACGCACAGTGAGGGTTATTTTAGGGATTCACTCAACTAACCCCAGTTTCCTCCTGTTGGAAATGCACTAACAGTGCAAGTCCCAAAGCCCTCACTTGAACCCACCAGTATATTTTCTTGAACACATCTACAAAGCAGGTGAACAGACCTTCTGATTATGCTTAATTAGGTAAAACTAAGAAAGCAAATAAAACATTTGAACCACAATTTTATTTAACTCAAATTTCACATATTCATAAATTCATAATAGAGACATCATCTCTATGCCACTCCAGATACAAAGCAAGATAGGAGCTGATCTCAGGAAACTAAATTTGAACATTTCTTGATTCAGCATGCAGCACCTCTGAGAGAAGCATTAAATGGAGGTGCTCAGCCTTTTTACTCAGCATGGCTGTCCCCATGCTTTTCACTGCCCACAGCAATGCGTTCTCTGCGATTGCGGTATTTCAATCTTAGCAATTTTTGTCATTCACATGAAAAGATATTTGAAGTGCTAGATTCATTCCATCCACAGTGGCAGCTGAATGGACACATGTCTCTTCTCATGCTGTTTCCAGACAGTAACAGATATTGGCTGTTTTCAAATGCTCAGTTGCAAAGACTTCTGAACTCAAGGCACAATGACCCCAAACTGGTGAAGTTCAAACAAAAATCATTTGAACTGAGGTTACAACAGATTGCTTTTCTTCAACACTTTGTTGCACTCTTGCAAGGCTTGCTTTTGCCCTGTTTCTTCCTCATAGCAGATGATGACACATGGTTATGAAAGCACATCCCCTTTTGAGGAGCCAATGGAAACAACTCATAGACCACAAGTGAGCAATAACTTAAGACAAAATAAATTGAATGAAAGGAACACTGAATAATCATGGAGCAACCCTCCACTACTTTCCCCAGGACACGTATTACAGGAAAACAAAATTATTGTTCATTAGATGCATCACATTTTCATTTCTGTGTGTGTGTGTGCACAAACTCCAGTTTCCATACATCTATCAGAATCTGACTGTGCAGATGCCTGAATGAAGACGCACCATATAGATCTGATGGAATTCTGATGCATTTATAAGTAGTCCAGTTTGCTTGCACCTACTTTTTACATATTGGTAAGTAATTCCTAGTACATCATGATGCTTTTTGGCTGATATATTTTAGTAAATTAATCCAAACCAAACCCAAAACTATTCTGAAGTAAAACAGATATGAAATAAGCAACTTGGTGAGATAGCAAATAAACACTATGAGGCATTTTTAAGATATATAGGGCTTTTGAGACCACTGAACTTTTAAGCAGCCTCAAGCTACAAAGATTTTCAGAGGATTTGCTCATGGTATGCTATTATTCCTGCAAAGAATAGCATACATACAGACTTTGGTGAAATTTCAAAATACTTGCCATTATATATTTATCAGAAAAGTGTTATTTAAATACAAGTGACCTTTCATTAGAGATGGTCTCATGATGCAAAATACAAACACAAATCCAGATTTAGAATGGCTCGAACTTTCAATGGAGTCTTGGTTCAGCCATTATAAATGTCAAGGCTATTTGCAAAATTCAGATTGAGGTTTGAATGTCAATGTATGCATCAAGTTCAGGGGTTTAGGAGCCCAGTTATCTGCTTCAGAACAATCCCAAATTCTTATTGGTTACTGTATCTTCAACAGTGAATCGTATTCTAACATATTTACTTTAAAGAGCATTAACTTTCATGAGAATAAAGAAGGTCTGCAACAAGAATAGCACCAAAAAATGGCAAAGTCAGGTAGAACAGATAAACAGCCATGTCAAACTCATACTGTGAAGAAGCAAAGACGCAGACAGGAGGATCAATTATGAAAAAAACTTTGTGTGTCACAATCATCTGAATTTCAGCAGAACAACAGAATATATTTTGAGCCACTAGAGTCAATGAATACTTCAGCATGCAATTGAATCCCTCATGCCTTAGTGAAAAAGTACACAGTACTCACCATCCATGAAAGCTTGAACAGCCTTGTCTACATTATTATCAAACTGCTGCAATACCAGAACTATCTCATTATTGCTTTTGTTTGGAACAATTGATCGGACTGCATTGATCTGGAAGGAAAAAAAAGGAAGACAATAACATATGGGTTTATCATACTCCTTTAGACAACAAGGTACCTCTGTGCCAATGCATGTTTATATAAATGCACGTTATACATGACACGCTTACAAGTATACAACAATGTATCTGTATGAAGCAATAACCATCCTCTCCCCACCTGGCCTATGCAAATAAAGAAAATGATTTCTTCCAGAAACCAAATCATAGAACTGGTAGCTAGTAAGCCTGGAACCAAATCCTACCCTCAGTCACAGCAGGAGAACTAGCTTAACTAAACTGACAGAATTCGGCCTTATGCTTCTTTCCTAAATGTTCTGTTTGCTGCCATGTGACTTGACAAGACACATCACCTATACAAACTTACAGAGTACACAACTACTTCAACAAGGCTGTTGCATGGCCTTGCTACATCAAAGTTACGATCAGTGGGTTTTTTGACATCTGGAAAACAGTCATATGCATGAAAATAGTCACAGGCTAAAAGAAAACAGTATCATTTTTAATAGCTCTAGTGGCTGCCTAGCATAATTTCAGTTTGCTGCTGCCTAGCATAATTTCAGCTTGCTGTTCCATATATATGCAGCCACAAAGCTTGTGTAACAAAATCCTGAACAAAGGACATGGGAAGCCAAATGCTTCCTTCAGGAAACTCTGCTGATGGATGAGGTGTTACACCTACAGATGATTCTGGCATGCCATGCTTCAATTTCACAGCATTTGCTATTGCTGTATTGTCTTCAGTATCCATTTATACCAAATAGTAATTCAACCCACTATGTTTTAAACAAAATATTCCTACTGGAATCATGTGGATTATTTACTTTCTCATGCCCATGTAATATAGCTGAAAGTAAATAGTAACACGAAACTTAATTACTATATTGTTTTATTGCTAGACAAGCTTTACTAGGTAGTACCAAAATAAAAATACTTGGTTAAACGTAATTAGCAAAACTAACAAAAGCCAATGGTAGTACTCTGAAAAAACAAGAGAATCGGTGCCAAAACCAGTCTAGTTGTTCCAAATCAGCTTTTTGAGCTTCTGTGTCAAGCTATCCAGCATGTATTTACTATTAGAAACTTGTTATTGCACTGCAAATATTTATCCAGCACCCTTCTTTACCATTTTTCTGTGGGAATACATCCTTGATTAGGGTGTACTTTATTTATGCATCACACAGTTGCCATGCTAATTCCTGATTGTGAAGCACTGGTTGTCTTTTTATTGCACTGTGAAATATAATTGTGAAAAAATAATACATGAAGATAGATCTGTTTAAGGGAACTAGGCTTGCTTACATGGTGAGAGCATTCACACTACCTTGTCTTAGCTGTCCATTTAGATGCTGAAGAACAATCTTTCTAGATTCCCTTTGTGGAATATCCATCAGTGGAGACACCAGAAGGTGATTCAGAACACTTAAGTGCTCAGATTTATGACCAAAAAAATCTTATTTTGCTGTTGTATGTTCACCCCACTCCTCAACCACTCTATTTCCCTGTCCTGTATACCAACATAAGCCACGACTCATTGCAGGCTCTGTTAATGCATGGTGACTGAGGGCTCCGACTCACAATGTCTGCTGGACTTAGCTTCAGCACCACAAAAGGTTGTTACTTGCTTCAGCTAAATCCACACAGGATCAAACTTCCTGGAGGATGCTTTCTAGATGAGCTCATCTCACTGTGTAAGGAAGGCCACTTTCTGACTTCAGCAGACAACTTCAGTATATCTACTCAGTATGATCTAGTCTGCTCCTGTCCATCATCCTATCACACATCTCTTTGCAGCTTCACATTTGCCCACAACACATTTCAAGTAGCAAGTCTAGCCTTGGACAACTCGGGCCACAACCATAATCTAGAGGGCAGTGAAGTTAAATTGCTTGTCTACTTCCCAGGGACCCTTTCCAAAGGCCTATCTAATCGTTTGTCTAATGTTGTCTATGACTGGGCAAAGCTTGCCCACAAGCTAAGTCCCAACCCAACAGCTAGCTGCTTTGGAGTCTCTAGTGAACACAGGTAACTTCATGTTGGAAGTTCAGACAGGGTAGGCTGTCAACTGGACCACTTGTACCAGGGGCTGTTGTTGCCAGAAACAACCCAGAAAATCTGTCTGCTCAAGCTTCTCTCTTCAGCTGTTGTGTACACACGGGGAGGGAAGTAGCGAGTACAGCTCTCTATGCACTGCAGGCATTCAAGTGAAAACAAACGCAAGTCAACAGGATGTGCAGAGAAAGCCCTGGAAAAAGGAGTTTTATTCACCTTCTGATTGTGGGCACAGGCATGCTATTTACTGATAAAGCTGCAACAAGTATGAACTGAGCTGGCTCCATAACAATAAAAGTTGGCAAAGACACTAGGGTAGAGCAGGCCACAAGCTGCAGTCCATTTTATGTTCAAGCTGGTAGTTGCCAAACATTTCCACCATGTGGATTACATCTTCATATTCTCACAAAAACCTCCCCTCTTCTTTCACAATCATGTGGATCATCTCTCTGCCTACTCAAAATTGCATAATCTCCTTGTGGCAACTGCTTACAGGAAAAATAGTAAAAGGAAACATCTAGTGTATTCTAACCATCTTTAAATATAAGCATGGGAATTTCATATGGCTTCTAGGTCCTTCTTTGCTATGAAAGGTCTGGAAGCCTCAAGAAGCATCTGGAAACAACAAAGTAAGGCCAAGACCACAGGATGGATCAGGCAACTTGCCACACACTGCAGTTTGGAAACTTCTTAAAGACATTAAGAAGAACAGCTGTGGGGTGGAGAACACTGACACACAAGAACTCGACCAGGCAGACTATGTTTAAGACTACAGAATCTACTGAAGACTTTGTTTGCACTGTATGGTCTTTGTTAAGAAATTTTTGATTAATAGAAAAACTATTAAACTAGATTAAAAGCTAAACTGTGCTTCATCTGACTAGTACTATGACTAAATAAAAAAAGGTTATGGAAACATTCTAGTTGTGAAGGTAACCCAAAAAAAGCAAGATGATGATCTTAGAAAGAATACTTGCCAATACAGAGAAAAGAAATTAAGCATGTGATCAACACTGTGGACACATTCCCGTTTTAGTTGGACTATATAAAAATTAGATTTAGGGAACATTAATGTACTGCAGAGCTCAACAGTTCTACTGCCAAAACCCAACAGTATCCTCTGTTGACTGTTGTACAAAATACACATTTGTTTATCTTTCCATTTAGAAAATAAAAACGTTAATTTTCATGAAAAAAAACCTCAGGAAAAGAACATCAGATTGCAAAGTAAAGCATCCAGGGCTTAGGAAATTCCAAATCAGAAGTTGCTTACACTTAATCTGCTTCCCTTGTGTATGTATGCTATGATACCCAGGACACCTACAAGTTGTTAGTGTTTCTGCTTTCCAGATTTCTGCAGTGACTTATGTGGGATAAGATAGAGGAAAACTAAAATTTGCAACCAGTAGGATATGTCAATATTAAGAAAAAAACAAAATATATATACTGTTCTGTTCAGAAACAACAAAAGCAGATATAAACCCAGAAGTCCAACAGAGGAGAAATCCCAAAAGGTTTTGTTCTAAAATAAAATATTTTGTCTTAAAATTTTTTAGGAACAAAATGGAATAATGTTACCATATTTTTTCTGGAATTTCAAAGACAGATCTTGTGCCAGGCATCAGGTCTCCAACGCATGCACTGTGTCACTGATGTTTTCATCCAGAATACACTGGAACTATTGTATACAGGCAATGAAAAAGTCAGCGATTTCTGGACATCCAGAAATTATTGACAAATGGCTACAAGTCTCAAATTGGGACCTGACAGCATACCTGGGAGGAGGACAAGGCACACTGAGGGAGACTAGGCCATATAACAGCCTTAGCCCAGAAATGCAAATGTCAAGGTCCCTGATATTTCACCTCTTAGTCCTTTCACCCTGGTTTCAAAAATACGTGTAGATTTCTACGTTTGAAGCTCAGGTCTTTCCCCACATGCAAAATGTGTCCCATATATTTCTGGAAAGGGACACAGTGATACAAAAGCAAAAGCCAAAGGAAGGGGTAGGCAACCTTCCTGACAGAGTAAGCCTAACACAAATGCATTTCTACAGCTGAAGATCATAAGAGACATATCGCAGACTGTGATGAACAGAGGCACAGCAGAGCCCCAGGAACACTTGACAGATACAAGATGACAAGTGGGAAATATATTAAAGGGAGGGATGTGAGCTGGACCTAGGCAGCCCAGGTATGCTGGCTCCCCTCTGCTTCACCTGTTAGTTCAGGTGATAAACCAGTCCTTTTGCTATTACAGCTATACACCTCAACTGCTTACAAGTCTCCAGCTGCTTGAGAGAAGTCAGTTGCTTCCCAATCAAGAAAACTATATAGAGCTCACTTTTATTAAAGGTGTGGTAGGGTGATTCCAGGGCAGGAGATAATTCCCAGCTTTATCTCTCTGAACTTATAGTCCTCAAACTTACCAAGAACATCCATCTTCTGAACATGTAAGCAACAGATTATGGAACTAGAATAATCCAATATTGTATGACTTCTCATCAACAAATTCCTTTTTAAAAATATTTAACAGCCTAAAGGATAAAGTACAAGATCCAAAGAATTTCCTAACATGCAGTGATACTGCATTAATACCTAACAGTCTGCAACAACAAACTCACAGCAGTCTACTTTATTAGATTTATGGGGGAGGGGGGAGGGGACAGACAACAAAACAGTTTTTTCCTACTCACTGAAACTTGATCATAGGAGAAAAACATTACCAGACAGACTACAGGGAAGTCAACTATTTTAATGACTTTGTGAATCATCCTGTCTTTATCCAGTGTAGATTCCCAGTGAACTTCTGTCATCAGCTGGATGCTAGACAAGCATTCCAGGACACGAAGAGAATTCAGTAACATACCTTCTGAACCACAGATAATTGTGCTGTTAATGTCAGCATTAGTTGAGAAGCTGTCACTGACAGTATT